AAATTCAATTTTTCTTCAAGCTTCAGCTCTTTCTTCCCATTTAAACTCCAAACAGCACCAACAAATTGAATCGTATTATTACTGAATTTTGAGTAAACACCGACAGGAGCCGAACAACCTCCTTCTAGTTTTCGTAGAAAACTTCTTTCAGCAATGACACAGCAGACAGTTTCAAAATCATGCAGTGATTCCAATAATGATAGGGTTTTTGGGTCATTTTCACGACACTCAACTCCAAGAGCTCCCTGCCCAACAGCGAAAAGCATTTCCTCTCCATCTAAGACCTGTCCAATACGATCCAGCCATCCCATTCTTTTAACACCTGCAGATGCTAAAATAATAGCAGCATAGCTGTTTTCTTCCGAGGTCAATTTTCTAAATCTTGTCTCAAGATTGCCCCGAATATTTTCTACGGTGAATTGAGGATAGTTGCGGCGAAGTTGAGCAGTCCTCCTGAGTGAACTTGTGCCAATAACACTTCTTTCTGGAAGTTCCTTCAGCTTTTTGCCTTCATACTTTCCATTTAAGAGAACAACATCTCTTGCATCTTCTCGCCTACATACAGCTCCTAAAACTAAACCTTCCGGTAAAGTGGTGGGTAAATCTTTCAGTGAATGAACAGCAAAATCAACCCTCTTCTCTTTCAGTGCAATCTCTAATTCAGCGGTGAAGAGACTTTTTTCACCTATTTTCGGCAGGGGTTTGTGCAGTTCTTTGTCACCAATGGTGTCCATGGACTCTATTTCAAAATTCAAATGAGGATGCAGTTCTTTCAGCCTGTTTATCACAAAGTTTGTCTGAATCATTGCTAGCTTGCTCTTGCGAGAGCCAACTTTGATAACCTCGGACTCAGACATGCTGGTGGACTTTGGAGAAAGAAGTGTGAGACTTCGTCACGTAGAAGTACACTGCATTAACTTCAAGACATAACAATGCAAGCAGATTATGTGTTTTGTTCAATTATTTTTCCGCTTTCTGTTACAGAAAATTCAGCAGATCATCACATACCTATCATTGAATACGAACTTATGCCCATCGAAACGTCTCTTTTACATATCTAATGGTGACCCCAGCTGGGACTCCAGCCCTCTCATAAACGTTGTAACCAATAACTTCACGATCACCCACTACATATGTGCAGCGACAAAGTACATGCCAATCCATGAGGATCCCCCTAAAGTTTTCCCATCAAAGAAAGGGAAACCGCGAGAGACAAGGGCACAATCAAGAGGGGAGAGAGGTCTCCACAAAAGATATGTGGCAACAGATGCATTCACTAAATTAAATGCCGACGACATAAATTTGGAAATTGAAGCTGAGGCGGTTAAAAGAAAATTTAAGGAAAAAAAGACAGAGTCAGCGAGGCGCCACTATCACACAAAAAAACGTGAGTATCTCGTCATGTAAAAACTATCCAAATAAACAACCCACCGACTAATAAAAATGTTATATAAAAAAAAACAAAAAAAAAACCAATTATCGCCTATCCTGCACGACAGCAAAAGGATTATGCTGAGGAACACTTGCGCTCTTGATAGCCTTGTTTCTGTAATGGCACCAGCCTTGCAAGAGAACAAGACATACCGAGAAATGGCGTCCATGTACCGCGCTGCAAACCAAGTCATCAACCTGGTGATCCTTGCACTCGCCCGAGACATCGACGGATATGCAGCAAGAGCACAAGTACTCATAGTCAATAAGGTGGCAAGAATTGAGTCGTCCAGTGCAGATTGCTTCTGCTTCATTGACAATGTAGCATCTCTTTGAGAAACTGCACTATCTGCTGTCCGGAAAACTACTTGCTTGTCTCAAAAGTGTTACGAAGAAGAGGAAAATCTGGCATTCATTCGACCAGCAATTCACTCTCTCAAGCACTTGGAAAGTGGCCGAGTCGAATTGCTGATCAGTAATGAGTTGAGAGAAAAGCTCGAACAGATGTGTCCTGCAGGCAAAAAAGGCGGTACGGAGGAATTTTGATTCTGTTTTTTCTTTGTAGTAATACCTACCTCGCAAATAATGGTTTTTTTTCATCAGCACATTCAACACACTCTATGCCCTTCTTCACTTTTTCAAATCATTCGACACCTCTGTCTTGCTTATCTGTTATCTCAAATTCTTTTATGCTTCATACTCGCCAGATTGAAGAAGATGTGGAGAATTGGCTTCAATACAACACTCTATTGGATGCAAACGTTCTGAAAATGCCGCCCCTGCGGCTTAAGAAGGAGGTGCTCCCTAGAATAGTTGAAAATGTTGGCCAAAATGTAACCTCTACTGTAATTTTGTGTCAATAAGCTTTCATCATCATATCAATAAAGTTGATGCCATGAAGCAATATGTGTGATTTTTCTAAGGATAAAGTTGAGAAGCTTTGAAATTAATGTTGTCCTCTAAAAACCAAGAAGTCATGGAGATTTTTATTAGATTTTAAGATTTTTTAAATATGCTAATAGATGCGTCGTTTTACAATCAGCCCGACTGTACAATCATTGACAATACTAGAAAAAATAGACAGTCTTTATGCATGCTCATGCTGTCAGAATGTACAGTTGTGTGTGAGGGTGTGTGTGTGTGCATATTCATAAGTATAAACAGACATTTTACTTATTTCACTAAACGAATCAGTTTTTTTGACATTTCGATACATTTTAAAAGTACTGATTGAATTTGTTCTTCTCTTCTGCAGACTTCATACCCAAAACAGAGCTGTGCCTCCTCAGAGGGGCACGAAACTATTAAAAGGAAGCATACATCAGAGAATGAGGAATCAAGACTTCGAAGAAAAACAACAAGAAAAAGGAAGAGGAAGACCCGAATTTTGTTCACCATTTCAAATCAAGTAGTCCGATTTCAGTCACCTCAAACGTCCAGTCCGGGCACACCCAAGCGTGTGAGGAGGGTGCAACCGCTCTCAGAGGGTCGCGGGGGAACGCCATGCGCCTTTGCCGGAAAAACAACGCAAGTCCCGCCTGGCGATTTTCTATCTCTCTCGCACTTATACGCGAGAAGCTTGGCTATTTTCTACCTCTCTCGCACACTCCGGCGAGCTGCCTGGCTGTTTTCTGTCTCTCTCGCACACCCAAGCGTGTAAGGAGGGTGCAACCGCTCTCAAAGGGTTGCGGGGGAACTTCATGCGCCTTTGCCGGAAAAACAACGCAAGTCCCGCCTGGCGATTTTCTTTCTCTCTCGCACTTATACGCGAGACGCTTGGCTATTTTCTATCTCTCTCGCACACTCAGGCGAGCTGCCTGGCTGTTTTCTGTCTCTTGTTATTGTTAAATAATGATATTTGGGAATGGTTTCTGCTTTTTAGAGACATTGTTGATATTTCAATGGCCCCAGCATTGCAAAAAGGAAGTAGTGAATTATTAAAAGTTTGGCTATGCTATGCAATACCTACGCGGAGAAAAAAAGTTCAGGGTTATGCACCGATCGGTTTGGTGGGCCCGACTTCGGCGAGAGGACCTGAACAATCGGTGGCGTATGCGGGCGTGTTGGGTTCAACCTACGGAGGTCCCAAATTGGCCTTGGTCTGTTGATCTGAAGAATTTAGGCTCTCAGACCCGAAGTTTTCCGTTTTGGCGTCGGAGGTATTCGTATCAGCGGACCAAAAATGTTAAGAGACAAAGTTTAGTAACGGAATAAGTGATGGCGCCCGAGTCCGACGGTGATCTTCAGGCAGTTGAATCCCAGTTTAATCCTAATCCCACAGTTTTAGGAACCTGAAATTTAAATCCCTCGTGACTTATTTGAGAAGTGCTCCCAGCGGAGACCCGATTTTTGATGGAGCTGGTAAGTGATGGAACCGGCCTCTTTCATGTTCAAGCCATTACGCATCCGTTGATAGGAACCTCATACATATACAAGGTAAACGCGTCTCCTTATCACTGCAACGATGTGACGTTTTACGTCGAAACGGTCTCCCGTCGATGCCGGCTTGCCGAGCGGCAGCATAGCAAGAACAGCAAATCGTTGTCGGTGAAGATCAAATACAGGACAGTGCACCAAATTTGCCACAGCGCTGCGTGTGCTGATCAGAAAGTCTTGATCGCTGACCGTTCTCAAGAGGACCCGGGGGGGCAACCTCAGTGAGACCCCTACACGTTAGCCCCTGCAATGTCATCTTGCATATAGGTTCCCAAAACTGTTATTCCCTTTGATACGCTGCTGATTTCTAGAAAATTACTAGGAGCGGTAGCGACCCCGTCGAGCCTATAGAGATCTCCAACAACGAGAATGGGAGCAGCTACTGTATCTTACACGAACCCGTTCAACTTTTTTGGATTATACCCAAACTGCATCTACCTCTAATACTGACGTCATCAACCCAACTGCATCTACCTCGAAAAGTCCTGCTGTCTCTGACTCCACAGCATTTTTACAAGCAAAAGTTTATACCTCTATAAAGTAGTAATTTGGGTTTCTAAAGGATTAAGGCGTAAGGGCGAAAACGTAATCGTATGTTGGAGGCGAAAGAGCACAGGGGAGAATTTCATGAGCCGCCCTGTGCCGTCCGCAGCGCACACAACCCGCCTTGCATTATTACACTTCATCTGGCGTTGAGAGTTTCCTCATATAACTTCACACGACCACTGTGTAATTTGAAAAGTCAAAAATTTAAAAAGAAAAAAAAAAAAAAA